CCCCAAAACCCCAAAACCCCAAAACCCCAAAACCCCAAAACCCCAAAACCCCTAGTTTAATGAATTTAATTGGATAAGTTTATAATAATTTCTTTCCGAACAATGATGGAATCCTTCATTTGTGAAGAGACCATCAGTAATGCCAAAACTGTATCGGGGACCGTCTCTAAAATATTGGAATCAATGGCCACTCAGTACCACACTCAACTGAGGGCAAACCAAGACATTCAGTATAAAGTAACTGTGTTCGACCTTCGCACAGTTCCTGACATAAAGCTCTGAGATTATATCCTCAGAATTATGAATATGTCAAAGTGTGTTTATAGAGATCTCCTAGCAGCTCTTGTCTATGTGGATACTCTGATTAATAACGGAGCCATTGGCGGGATTTCTTTCCATAATGTCCATAGACTTGTAGCACTCTCTATAATGATCTCCACTAAATTCTTCGATGATGTACACTATTCAAATGCTTCTTGGTCGAAGATTGTCGGAATCCCCTTGAGGGAACTCAATAATGCAGAAATGATTTTCTTACAATCTCTTGGATATAACGTCAATATTCAAGGAGAAACACTGCATATGTGGTCCGAGTGGATTTCACGCTTTGCTGACGAAAACCCGATCCAGGAAAGAGATCCTAAACACATCACTGAACAGAGTGCACAGAATCTCAGTGAAGAGGAGAATCAAACTGAATCTTGTGATTCAGCTATCACCTTGTAAATAACTTGTACGGGAGAATTTTGAGGAAGGAGAGGCCATCTCCACTTTGTAACCTCTGACTAGGTTTATTACTTAGTCACGTTAATCAGAGATTTTCGGATTTCTTTTCCACCAAAATTCTTCGAGAATTAGGATGCTCTGCTAGAGCAATACTGATTTACTACTTAAAGTAATGAGTGCATTGCTTGTCCGAGTGACTCGCACGAGATACGGACCTGACGCATCTCCGTAACGGCAGGTAATTGGAGTGCTGAATTACGTCTGAGTCTTCATAAGCGTTTCACTTTAAGAATGTATTTTTATTACTTTAACCATAATTTAAAAACTCATCCTTTCAAAAATCCTTGGCTGTGTTATTCTATGTCTTGACGAGATTAGTAAAATTAAGTGATAATATAGGCGGAATCCTTCAATTTAGAAAATTCAAAAAGGGGTTTTGGGGTTTTGGGGTTTTGGGGTTTTGGGGTTTTGGGGTTT